ATTTCTTTTTTTCAGTTTAATCGACCACGGGCATAACTGCTAACGAATCACCTGGAGACCACTTCGTTTCCTCATTTTCTACTTTTGTACATATGTATTAGCAATTATCGAAAACAATATAAAAATAAAACTTCGAATAATGCAAGAAATTTATTTTGTTGTGTTTCGAGTATGGTAAAGAGATAGTTCGAAAACTAGGAGCCTTAGACAAGCTTAGCTTTCTCTAAAATACCAGTCGCTAACGCCATCAATGGTTCGAATGCACGGGTGTAGATGAGGCAAGAACCGCGGGTTTGAGGTAAGTATCCGAAAACGAGGACAGCGGTCCTGATGACGTAGTAGGCAGGAAAATCATAGAGGAGAACATCCAACATGGCAAATGCAGCAAACAGCACCCAGTAGCTCAAGAGACTAGACGACTCAGCTTGATTGTTGGGTTTCAAAGCCTAAGGAAAATATTATGAATCTGCCAATGGTTTCCTGTCTTACCACAACTCTCATAACTGGGTAGACGAGAACAATTAAGTTACTGACGAAGGCAGCGTAGCTTCCAGCAAGGAGGTATAAAACGAGGAATCCAACAAAGCCGTAAACAACCTAAAAACGGATATAAGATATGATAGACAAATCGTAAGCATACATGTTCTCTTTTAACTCCATTAGCTTCCAATTTGGCAACGTTGCTGTCGTATACTGTACCATGAGATTGGGAGAACCATTTCATTACGTCAGTCTAGAAAAAAATATCATTTGAAGTAGAATCTAATGTTACATACATGAGCTTGCTTGAGTCCTTGAGCAACATTGGTTTGAGCATGAGCAGGGGACGTGGCTGGTGGAGCTGTTAAGGTGTTGCTATCCTTGTTAGAAGGAGCAGGCTTGTGGGAAGATTTGGCAGTGGTTGTGCTTGCTTGAGACATTTTCGAAGATCTTCTTCAACCCGGTGAGAAACGAATAATGAATGAAATTTTCGAATTGCGGCTTATATACCACACGTGGGACACGTCACGTAACTTCACGTGAGCCACGTGAACGTCAAGTTGGCTTTGAATTCGAGAAAATAAACAATCAAAACAACATAACCTTTCTGAAAATGAAAAGATTCGAAGTCACAAAGTTTTATTATTTGATTTTGGTTATTAATGAATTGCTGTTTGCATCTGATATGCCATCTTAGTTGGAGCGTCGAAGTCTACTGTGGGTACTCTTCTGTCACCAGAATGAGATGATTTCCGAGATGTTTCGAGAGCGGCACGTTTTACAAATGATTTCGTTGTTAAAATGAAATAATAATTAAAACAAAAAAAGCTAAAATTGGCCGCATTAAATGGAATTGATGGAACTTGTGTTCGAATATATAACCAGCGCGAAATTTTTATTTTTTGCTTCATTTTCCTCTGTTGGACTTGGTTGATGAGTTCCTTGCCCATCCGAAAAATCAAAATTTACAATTTCAACTTCTTTTGATAGTATCTTATCCGGCAACGTGTCTCTCATAATGATGCCACGAAAATGTTTCATTTTTACCACATTGACAAGCTCTTTGAGGTCAACGCTGGTTATACTTGGAAGATCTTTTTGAAGACTAAGAGTATTCATTCAATTATAAACAAATCTTCGAAACGTGTTTCTTTTCTTTCCTCAATGCCCTTTTCTAGTTTCTTTTCGAGAGCATAATCAGGCGCTGATTGCGAAACATATAAGTTTTGCGTGTTCTACCGCAAAACCTATTGGTA